GTAGGGCCAGAGGCCCGGGGCCGCCTGGGCTCTCAGGAGCACAGGGTGGGGAGCTAAGTCCTCCCACAAGTTTGGACTCAAGCCAGTGGGGAAAAAAAGAGACAGGAGAGAGTGGGCTCTGTGCTAAGATGTTTTTCAAACACATTGCTTCAAACGATGGGAGGCCAGGAGCAGGGCCCCTTAGCCTCTTCCTGCCTATGGTGAAGCCAAGCATCATTTTTCTTCTGCTCAGCCTTGCCCCCAGGGAACTCTGGACCAAAGCGGCAACAAAGACAGGGCTGGAACTGGGTGGAAGCCAGAAGGCCTCTGACCTTCTAGAGTCAGAGCTAGGCAGGAGGCTGCCAGCGCCTGACAAGGCTGATACACCCACGCTGAAAAAAATGGGTGAGAAATAGGCAGGATAAGAAAATCTAATAAACAAGCGAACAAACATCCAAGTAGGATTGGGGACACTGCAGAGAAGAGATAAACAAAGATGAGAAGTGCCTAGTGGGGGGCTTGGAATGTCAGACCCCAGAAAGTCTGACTCAGTGTAGGCCAAAGGAAAACTGGTAGAGACACAGGAAGATAGCTCAGCAGAAGGGCACAATGGCCTGCATAAATGCAGAGAAAACTGGAGTGCAGACAGGTTGCCGGTGGGTGAGGCTGACGCTGACAGAGGGCGGGGGCTGTCTTTGCAGGACTGCCTCGGGCCCCCCAAGAATGGCGCAGCCGGCATCATTGGGCACCTTCAGGCCTCTGAGCAAAGGCAGGGAGTACAGGCACACCCAGCAGGCTGCTTGGGCAAAAACCAGGGGGGTTTAGCTAAACTGTTGACAGATTTAACGTGCAAGCCTCTGAGCACATTAGACGGGGGAAAGGGGAGGAATTTTCCCAAGGTCTGCAGCTTGGGCAGCTAGCTTAGACACAAACTGTGCCCAAGAGCCAGCCTAGTGCAGACAAGCAGGGCAGGAAGAACAGGGGACAAAAACAAAAAAGCAAAAGGTAATAAAGGAACGTATAAGCCTTTGGGTAAAGACCTCGGATCAAGATGAGTGGGGAACTGCAGTGCAATTGCAAGAAAAAAAGAAGATAGGCCTGTGAATAATACATTTGGCTTTTATTTAAAGCCTTTCTTCCTAAGACCTCTAAAGCGTTTCTGTCACCTTACTTAATCCTTAGACATCACACTGTGATGATGATAATGCTGACGTGGTTTTTTTAGTGCCTGCTATATGCCAGGCAGTGGGCTAAGCTCTTCACATGTTTAATTTAATCCTCACAACCACCCTGTAAGATGGGTATTGTGATATTCTAGTTTTTCTATTCTAGTTTTTTTGTTTTTTTGTTTTGTTGTGTTTTTTTTGTCTTTTTGGTGGTATGCGGGCCTCTCACTGTTGTGGCCTCTCCCGTTGCGGAGCACAGGCTCCGGACGCGCAGGCTCAGCGGCCATGGCTCACGGGCCCAGCCGCTCTGTGGCACGTGGGATCTTCCCGGACCGGGGCACGAACCCGCGTCCCCTGCATCGGCAGGCGGACTCCCAACCACTGCGCCACCAGGGAAGCCCAACTATTCTAGTTTTTATGAGGACATTGAGATTCTGAGAGGTTAAGCAGGTTGGCCAAGGTTACACAGCTAGTAAGTAGCAGAACTAGGGCTGGAATCCAAGATGGTCTGACCCAAAAGCCTGTGGATTTAACCATGTTAATACACAGGGAAGCTGAGGCAGTGAGGAGGTTACTTGCCCGAGTCAATATAGCAGAGTCAGGCCCAGAGGCCAGATTTCCTGGCCCCAATCCCAGGATTCTGTCGGAAGGCAAAACTCACCCTCTCCCTGTCAATTCACTGTTTCCAAGCCCAAGAAGTATGGGCCCTCCAGTGGGCTCCCTGGTGTCTAATTAAATGAAAATGAAAAAGAACAAAGTAGGTGTTTGTTGCAAACTTAAAAATCAGAGGAAGAAATGAAGCCTTTGAGGAACCAACTAACAAAAGTATAAAGAACTGAAAGTGATAAGAACATACAAGATGAGAATTCAAAATGTCCTCGTAGGCCTGAGGAGTCAGTAAGTAGTAGCCCAGTGAAGTCCAGGAAAGGAACATGCAGAGGGAAGAGGAATACACTGGAGACTATTTAGGAACCTGTGCCACTGGACGTCCCCGTACCATCAGAGTGCCTCATTCATTCAGGGCCGCCTGCAGAGCAGCAGTGGGTGGAGGGGGGAAGCTAGAGTGCCAGCGGGCTGAACCCGAAACCTTGTCACATTTCTTAGCCTCTGTGCCTCACTTTCCTTCTCTGTAAAATGGGATCGTTGTGCCAACATAGGTTTTTCTGAGGATTAAAGTTGATAACATGTGAAGCACTTAGAACAGTGCCCAGCACATAGTAAGTATTCAATACATGTTAGGAATTACTGCTACTACTTATACTGAGAGGTGAACAACAGGAGACTTTAAAAGATGGTGTCGTGAGGGAAGGGCTGAAGCGTGGAAGAAATGGATGTTCTCAGAAAGGATGAGTGATTATCTGAGGCTGGAAGCTGGGGTGGCTGGCGGCATCTGAGGCTGGAAAGACAGGCTGAGGCGAGTTTGGGAAGGGTCTTAATGGGCCATTCTGGGGAGTCTGGGGTCTAACTCAAGTTTGAGAAAGCTCTTAGGATGGCAGAGCCAAGTTGGAGGGCAGGGAGGCAGAAAGCAGAACCCATTAGGATGTTGCAGCCCTGTCTGGCGAGGATGGTGAGGAGGTTGGGGGGAATGGCCAGGATGTTCAGAAAGTCAATCCGTAAGGCTTAGTGGGACAAGTGGTTTGGAACTCTAAAAAGCATATAGTCTGCCAGAAGCTCACTCTGATTAGGTTGGTGGAGAACAGAAAATCAATGGGAACTATTTAATAGGATCCTTGGGAGAAGCTGAGAGGGATTATTAAATGATAAGGCAAGGCTAAGGGATTATTGAAACAGGAAATATAACGATGTTTTCCTCTGAAGTCTTACGAAGAAATTAAAGATAACTTGTAGCACATAGGATTCAAGTTAGATATGAGGAGGAACTTGCTAACCACATGACAGTTATGACATAGGCATGGAAGGAGCACAGAAAAGTGTATTCTAAAACTGAACTTCTATCTATCTCCTTTTATAATTACTGTCATGTCTTAGATGGAGAATTTAGCACTGTATAATAAAACATTTTTAAAGTGTTAAGATGATAACAGTGAGTTCTGAGTAAGTGATACTCAGGAAGCTGGGTTATTAATGCCCATTTTGATTCAAACAGTAAGCCAAAACACTTACAAGTAAACTCAAAACAGTGCGATAAATGATGGGCCAAAAATTCCAGGAACTGCTGAGTCAGTAGAGTGTTTTTCAAGACATCTGGCCCAAGAAAATCCACTTAGAGCACAAGGGGAACTGCCTGACAATTTCTGAACCCTTGGTGATTACATTCGAAAGCCTTGGGGGAGGGCCCGAAGCAAGAAAAACATGGGGGGATGGGCGTGACTGTTGTCCTCCTGGACTGCAAGCTACATCTCAAAAGGACCCGGGATGCTACTTGGGCCCCAGAAAAGGCAAACTGTTTGAGAGATGTAGAGTACTGCAGGCCAAGATTGGAGGGGTACCAAAACTGGCCAGCCAACTGAGAGCCAATGGGAAGCATGTATCAGACGCAGAGGTGAGTTAGGGGCAGAGGATTCAGGGCCAATACCCCTAAGGGGGAGTGGGGTGCGTGTGGAACTTTGGTCCATGACTAATTGGACAGCTGCATGGGATGACTGGGGCTGTGCTTCCTCCTTCTATAATGTGATGAAAAGTGATCTGGGGCTGCAAGGCCACTTCTTCCTGGTGACCCTGAGCGAGTCACTTCAGCTCTGACCTTCATGTTGCCTCTCCTGTAGAATGGGTATCATACTTACTTCTCAGGACGCTACTGAAATTAAATGTTAATGTAGGAAAGACCTAGCCCGGTGCCTGGCCAATCATCTGATGTCGTATTTCAACAGTTGTTCTCTCCTCTGTCCTCCTTTCTAACGCGGGACAAAGAAGCCTTCCTCTGTCCCTTGCTCCATCAATGTAAGCAACACAAAGATTCCCACTATCAAGTTTCTGAGGCCTGGTTACAGAAACATTCTGTTGTTCTTTTTCCTCCAGTGGTTCTGTCCCCTTCCTCACCATCCATCCTCACCCCTTCTACTGCCCCCCACCACCTTGTTCTGGGTCCCTCTGGTCTATAATCTAGAGCTGTCCCCTCACACATCAAGTCCAATGTGTTTTCTCCCCACCCCGCAGACTCACACCATCTTCTCACTGCTGGGAGTGGACCATGCTTACGTCACCAGTATTGGCAGACTCATTGGAATTGTCACGCTAAAGGAGGTGAGATGATAGTGACCACTTCCACTTCCAAAAAGGCTCAGAGGCTTATGTCCAGCCACCTGGGGAAGTGCTGGGGAGGAGTCTGAGCAGGGAGCTCCGAGTCCACACATCTGATCCTCTCACCTTTCCAGCTCCGGAAGGCTATCGAGGGCTCTGTCACAGCACAGGGTGTGAAAGTCCGGCCGCCCCTTGCCAGCTTCCGAGACAGTGCCACCAGCAGCAGTGACACAGAGACCACTGAGGTGCATGCACTCTGGGGGCCCCGCTCCCGCCACGGCCTTCCCCAGGAGGGCAGTCCTTCTGACAGCGACGACAAGTGCCAGTGATCCCCTCAAGGGGTGGCCTGGGATGGCAGTGGCCATGGCTGTCGGCCCAGATCCTGCAGCTTTCCTGTTCCTTCTGCCTTGGGAAAACAGGAGCTCCAGCCCCGCTTCCAGACCTGGGGTGCTAGCGTCTCCTGGCTCATCCTACCTGAAATCTGACCCAGTGCCCACCTGCAGCAAATGTTCCAAGGGCAGGAAGGTCGGCACTGCCCTGACAGGGTGGGGGTGCGTTCACTTGACCCCTGCTCCCCCTTTGAGGGAAGGGGTAGAACTAATATGGGTTTATACTGGAACCTCCCGTGACCAGATGTATATAGAGATTTACAAAGATTTTTATATTAATTTAATAAAACAAATTCTTAAATAGAACAAAATAAACACCTAATGAGCCACTTCTATGTAGAATGCTTGTGCCCACCGGCTCTTGTTCTTACCTCGGGCCCTCTCACCTGCCAAAGCCTACAAGGCTCCAGATTCAGCAGCCACCCACCTCCCGACAGCCATGAAACTCCAGAGCCTGCTGTCCATGGAACGCAGGGTCTGCAGAGGCCACCGCCACCGCTTGCTCATCAACACCCTGGTTGGGGCGCAGTCCCCCAGTAAGGTAGCTTTGGCCTTTTGTTCAGCCAAGAAAGGCACTACCCTCTTTCCTCCCCAAGGAGAGACGCTCCCTCATGACTGTCACTCGTTGGCACCCGTCTTGCTGACAGCTGCCCAGCCACCTGTGTGGCCCCCTCGTGGCCCTCTCTGGAAGAACATCCAAATCACGGCTCCGTGGCAACCAGAGCCATCCCTTCTTCCAGCTCCACCCTAAAGAGAACTCTCGAGTGAATGGGGCAGCCCCCGGGCTGAGAGCCACCAGGACCCTGCCCACATGTCCTACAAGTAGCTGGGAAAGGGCCCAGACCCCGCCAGGGGGGCCAGGGAAAGGGCCGAGAGTACAGGCCTTCATCATTCCAGTGCCTCCCAGAGAAGATCCGACTGAAAGAACAGACCAAGACCCCTCTTTAGGAAAAAGAAGATTTAGAGATGATGGACAGGTGAAGCACAGCACGAGCCCAGCTGGGCGAGGGGCCCTTGGGGGGACAGCTCAATCCAGAGGCTCCAGGAGGGTCAGAACCACCCCCCACCCCAGGCGGGGGCAATTCTGTCAAGCACTACACATGGACTCGGAGGTGAGGAGAGAAGCAGAGGAGAGGCAGGGGGAGGGGGTGGGGAGGCAGGGCTCCCTCCCGCTCCACCCCACACAGCCCAGTCACAGCTGCCCCCATAGGGGTTCACATCACCCAAGGGGGAAATGTGCACGTGGTGGTTTTGATTTAAGAACATGAACATCACTGTCTGCCACAGCTGTAGCCATGCCCCAGGGGCCCCGGGCAACCCCCGGCAAACCCCAGGAGTGGGGGCAGGACATGCGCCCCCAGCCTGGCCCCTGCCTCCTCTGAACACTTTCATGCAAACACACAATGGAGGAGTGAGTGCTCCCAGGAGCCCTCCAGGCTTTGGAGCTCTGCTGGAAGCCTCGCCCGTGCTTGGGCACAGAGGCTCTGCCCCCAGCAGCGGCCAGGGGACACATGCCACCACCGGGCATGATTTGGGTCACTGTTCCTCTGGCTCCACCTCATCCTCGTCTAAGGACACCACCCCAGAAGAAGCTACGTCAGAGGCTTGCCGCTGCCGTTCCCAGCTGCTCGCTGGCGGCAGGCAGAGCGGCTGGCAGTCCTTGCAGGGGGCTGGCTCCTCCTCAGCGGGAGAAAGGCAGGACTCTGTGAGGGGCGAGTTGTAGAGCGAGTCCTGGGCCTCCAATGGGCCCAGGCTGCGGAAGGCACTTTCCCGGCTGTGGGGCAGTTTGGCGAGGAGCAGCTCGTCGCCCAGCAGCTGGGAAGCCAGGCGGGCCGGGGAGCCCAACAACCCGTCCTCCAGGCTGCACAGACTAGAGCACAGGGTCTCTGGGGACACGGTCTGCGAGCAGTCGCTCTCGGGTTCCACGGAGCCCTGGCGCATAGGCCGGGAGAATCGGTGGCCGGTGAAGAGGTCCTGGAGGTGGGGCCCCAGGGGCAGCTGCCCAGCCATGTCTGCAGGGGGAGAGAAAGAAGACAGCCCTGCTAGCCCCACTTCAATTGGCCAACCTGGAATGGAAGCCGCATCCTCTCAGCTCCACCCTCACAGGAGCTGAGTAACTCGGAGCAAGTCACTTAAGCTCTCAGTGCCTCGATTCCCTTAATAGTGAACTGGGGGCTATAAATTTACAGGGTAGTTGAGAGAACAACAGACTCTGGTACACCATATGAAACAAAATATACAGGGAGACCATACATGGTGCAGGTTGTTCACTGCACAAGGGGAGCCTGTCCAAGGCAGTGAGTGAGGGCTGAAATTCAGCACTCACTCTACCCACCAAGCAACATGCTCTAGCATGGGTCTGTGCCCACCAGATAAAGACATGCCTTTTTCTAATTTGCACAAAGATTCCACATAGGCTAGTAGTGGCCTTGGATAAATGTTAGTTATTATCATTATACCAAGAGTCAAAGCAAGCCTGGAACTCAATTAAACAAAAACGCTTGTGGTTCAGGCTTCCAAATCAGTCCCCTCTAGACCACAGCAGCAGTCTCCAATCTGCTCTAATGTATTGCCCACCTTGGAGAACTTGTTAATTAGCTGGAGGGGTCGGGGCAGGTGGAGGCAATGATCTTCAAAGGCAAAGGGGGGGGGAAGGTGGCCTGTGAGGTTTGAGCCCAGAAGCTACAGAGAAAGTCAGCCATGTGGTTCAGAGAATGGAAGATGAAAGGAGGGCCTCTGCACAGCCGCACGGCCCCCCGCAGGGTCCCCTCTGCATGCCCTGGCCCAGAGAAAGGTCCACAGGCAGGCCTTGGCTGGAAGGCAAGGATGCTGAGCTGGAGCCAGCGGCCCTGTGGGCAGTCCAGGCCCAGCAAGCCTTCCTGTTTGCCTGGGGCCCCAGCCCTGTGAGGAGCTGTGCTGCTGCACTGCGGCTCCTCTGCGCTGCCACAGCCAGCCAGAAGCGGACCCTCTCAGAGAGCAGCTGCTGAGAACGTATCAGTGAGGTCTCTGGGCCTTTTTTTTTTTTTTTTTTTGGTACGCAGGCCTCTCACTGTTGTGGCCTCTCCCATTGCGGAGCACAGGCTCCGGATGCGCAGGCTCAGCGGCCATGGCTCACGGGCCTAGCCGCTCCGCGGCATGTGGGATCTTCCCAGACCGGGGCACGAACCCGTGTCCCCTGCATCGGCAGGCGGACTCTCAACCACTGCGCCACCAGGGAAGCCCTGGGCCTTTTTTTTTTTCAGGACTGCAAAGCCCAACTGCACAGACAGGCAGAGAAGGCTCAGCACCTGTGGAAGAGGAACCACTCCATTTCCAACTGCTGACTGCCCACCCACAAGCGTAGATAGCCCACCTACCCCTTGAATGTCAAGGACCGCCTGGACAGAGTCTGTCCCTCTCCTCTCCCCTTCCACAGCTTGAGGACATTCTGGATCTCCCCTTCCAAAACAAAGGCCAAGCTCTGAATCACAGGGCCTATCAGGCAGTTCCAGCCCAGCTGGCAGCACTAGCAATGGGATGTCCCCTCACCTGAGTCAGTTCCCCCAGCAAAGTCCTCATCATAGGATTCATCGGTGGAGTCCTCCCCATCCACTGATGACCATGCCCGGAGCTTGGCTTCTGCAATGGCGAATTGCTCGGCCACTCCTGAGAGGAAGGACACAGAATTCGTTTAGCAGAGAGAATGAACTAAGACTAGGGCTCAGGTTGGACACAGGAGAGGGTAGACACAGGGGTGTAGAAAGACTCCAACCCCCACATCAGGCCCAAGGAGAGGCACATGAGCATCCCTGATAAACCCACCTGCTGCAAAGCGAGCCTCTTGTTCACCCTCACTGAGGTCTGAGTAGGAGGAAAAGGCTGATTCTAGGGCAGCGGGCGAGTCACTTGGCTTGCTCCAGCCCTTCCACTCAATGAGGTGAGCCACTCGGCCCTGGGCCATGGCAGTGGGCTTGGTCACGTGGTCCTTCACTACCTGGGAAATACCTGAAGGTGGGCCAGAGTGAGGAAAGCTGGTAAGGGGAAAGACCAGGGAGCATCTGGGAGGGAAGTGGTAGGGTCCACATGTGCCCTTGGGTGGGAGGAGGAGGCTGGGATTCACCTGAGAAAGAGAGGAAAAGGAAGATCCCAGCAAGAGCTCACAGGATACAGTCCCCAAGGGCATGTGCAAAAGGGCAAAGAAAGGACCAAATGGCCAGAGGCACGGGAGAGGGTGCATACCATGCAGGGAGGATCTGGCCAGCGCAGCAATCTCCTGGATAGTTAGGGCTCTTCGGGACTTGGGCAGCATCGCGACTGTGTCTCCAACATTCACCTTGGGTGACAGCATCAGAGGGTGAGTGCCCCTCTGACAGCAGTGTCCCCCAGATGCCCGTACTCCACCCAAGGCATCAAGCGGATGTGGGAGCCGAGAAGAGATGCCAGAGCATCTCAGATGGCCCAGTGGCTGCTGGGATATGTAAGAGGGTAAGAAGCCAGGATCAGCAAACTGTGTCCTCCCAGGGAGCAACAGAGACTCCGTCAGGCCCAAAGAAGCAGAACTACTGCAGCTAACCCTCCACCGTCCCAGCTTGCAGAGGGGAGGGAGGCAGGTTGGCAAGTAAACGGAGTGGGGCCTTTGAGAAGAGCAAAGAGGAGGGGACAAGGGTATGGGAAGAGGGACTTCCCTTCAGGTCCTCTCTCCCTTGCCCCTCTCCTCCTCTCAGTCTTCTGACCCCCATTCTAGCTGTTTATAGAGCCTACAGCATGACCAAAACCAAGCCCAACACCTTCTCCCCATATCTGGCCCTGCTTCCAGACTTCCTGACTTTGCATCACCCCACCATTCGCCCATTCAGCCTGGCTCCAAACCTCAGCTCTCCCCTATCTTGCTTACCCGTATCTGTTGTTAAGACCTAATGATTCCATCGCCAAACTGTCTCTCATACTACCCTCAACCATTCCACTCCCACTGCCACTGCCCTTCCTCAAGGGCAAGCCCTCAGTGCCCCTTGCCCAGATTAGCACAAGTGGTGGTCCCCCAAGTTCCAACTCACGCTGAGACTTGGAACACACTGTTTTCTCAGCCCAGAATGTTGTGTATGTAAGTGTTCCCCTCCCCCCTTCCCATGACTGTCTGGCTCTTTCTCATCTTTGGGGTCTTGGCTGAAATATTACTCTCTCAGAGGGCCTTCCTGGCCACCCTACCAGTAGTCCATCCTCCCTCTGCAGTCTGTAACAAGTCACCATCCTCAATCAACGTACCCCGTGTGTGTCATTATGGTCTATTTCCTGTGTTTCCTTATTTCTTGTTGATCTTTAGCTCTTTGAGGAATTTGGTCTCTCTCGGTCACTGCTGTACCCTTGTGTTTAACATAGCGCCTGGTACACAGTAATCTCTCAAAATACATAGGCTGAATGAATGAGGCAAAGTATAAATGTAAACAAATAATTTTCCTGGAGTGCAACTGCTCACAATATGTCCCTATTTAAAATCTTTCCTGGACTCCTCCAAGGCCCAGTGAAGCGCAAGCTTCACAGTCAGGCACTGAAGGAACCCACTCCGTGAGGCCCCGGCCTCCTTCCAGGCCTGCTTGGAATCCACCACCGATCTCCTCTGCCCAGTAAAAATCCACTTCCCCACCTTCCCTCCAGGCAAAGGAACGCAGCTTTCCCCTGGGCGAAGAATGCCATCCTTGCCTGACAAAATGCTCCCTACCATTTAAGGCCTGACCCTCAAGTGCCACCTCCCATTACGTTTTCAGTCCAGTTTCTCTCTCTGTCCTCTTGGATGCCTGCAGCCCCACCTCAGCGATGCCCTTGCATCTCTCCTGAGGGATCTTGGGATGGCAAAGCCTGAGTCTGATTCACCTGGGTTCCTACCTCCACCCTACCCCTGGCTCAGCGCTCCTTGGCAGCCCGGGGAAACGTTTCCCTCAATGAATGAATGAAGTCAGAGGCACACGCCCCCTCCTCGGCATTGCCTAGCTCTCCTCCGTTACGTTCCCACCCCTCAGAAGAGGGACTCCACCTGCCACTTGACCTCAGGCCCACCGTGTCCCTCCCCTTCAGTACCTGGCTGACAGCGCCCCCAGGGTGGTGCCGGCAGCCTCTGGCCAGGCCTGGGGGGAGGAGCACCTGGTGGGTGTTTCCTGGCTCGCCCCCCTCCCACCCATCAGTCCCCCCAGCCACCGCCATCCTTGCCTGCGCTCACGCAGCTGCGGCCCAGGCCCAGAGAAAAGGTGTATGTCTCCCTGGCAACCCATCACCATGCAACAGGGTCTCCAGGGATACGGCCCGGGATGCGCTGACGTCAGGGCCCAAGGCGCAAGAAAGCCCGCCCGCTGGCACAGCGCCAAGCAGAGCAGACCGGCATGGGGGCGGCCTTGGGGCCCCGCCGGCCGGATAGCGCCTCCGCTCGCTCGCAGGAGAAGGGAGCCAGGAGTAGGCTGGCGAAGCGGGGTGCGGCACACCCTCCCCACTACCAAAACCAGGGGCCCAGCACCTCTGGCAAGTCCTGGCTGTCCACTGAGGAAGGGCGGGAGGACCGGCTCCAGCCTCGGAGGGTCCGAGCAGATCCCAAGGAAGATAGAGAGAGGCCCCGAGGAAGTTCGATCCACTCCACAGCCCACGCCGGATCCGAGGCCACTGAGGGGTGGGGGGAAGGCTTTTCAGCGGGGCTCCCACTTCTGCCGAGATCCCCATTTTCATCCGGGGTTGCCGTTCCATTTCTCCATACCACCTCCCCCACCTCCCAGAATATAAGCATCCACCTGGAGCGCTCCGCAAGTCTGAAAGCCCCCATCCCACAGCCCTGCACTTCAGGCCTCCGGGGGCCCTTTTGTGGCAGCCACTCCTCACCATCCTCCTCAAGATATATCGTGTCATCAAAGCCCTAGGTATGAAACCTAAACTTTGATAAATTCGGAATTTTCTCAGATTTCTCAGCCTACCCATTCCTCTTGGAAAGCACCCACAGTCTTCCACCACCATCACCACCACCAACTTGGACCCTTTACAGGCTTGCTCTGGTTCCTTCCTCTCGCCAGCCACAGCTTGTGCGCAGCCCTTTACTCTTCTTTTCTGACAAACCCGTGATTTTTTCTGACTTTCGCCCCAGTCCCCTAAGGCTTTTTCTTAATGCCCTGTTTGGCCCCAACTTGGTTGCTCCTATTTCAGCCTGGTTCCCAAAATCTAAGCCAGAGTAATTTTCCTCTTGCCACATAAGCATCCTACTCCTCAGCTTCCCATCACCTCCCAAATCACATCTGCGTCCCTGACCTCACCTCTGCGACTTGTCTGACAAGTCCATCGTCCTCCAGGCCCTTCACGCTGCCACAGAAACATTTTGCCCAGCACAGAAATCATAGGCATGCTGGCTGTGTTGATGCGGAGAACCAAAAGCCCAGAACTGCTCCAGGCTCAGCTCCCAGTTCTGTTCCTATTTTGGCTCCGGATGCTGAGCCAGTCCCCTCCCCACTTGGAACCTGTGCCTAGTCACATAAGGAGAACACTTCTGCCTCATGGCTTTGAGGAGGTGGGAGTGCCAGGGCCCAGCTGAGCTCTCTGGAGCTCAGGGAGATGAGGCTCATATCCCAGACAGTGCCAACAGGCAATGTTGTGCCAACTGACCTTTAGCTGGAGCAGCCGTCTCTGTCCCTGAGCCTCAGCCAGCTGGTGGTCCCCAGAAATGCTACCAACCAGAAGGAAGACACAAGGTTACAGGCCATCCCTGGCTGCCAGCTGGTACCTAATCAGGGCTCTTGAGGCTAGTCATGAGGTCAGCCAAACTCTCCTGACTAAAGGAGGGATGACTTCCTGAACTCTAAGCCTTAGCAGGGCCAGAGGAATCAGAGCAGCCTGCTGCTTCTCAGCTTCAAAAGTCATGAGATTAATTTAGGACTACAAATCCCAGAATTCCTCATGTGAACCCAAGTAAAGTACAAATCTCAGCTAGAGTCTTAGCTCCAAAGAACCTCAAGTACCACACATACTAAGGCCTGTGTGACTGACCGCCTGCCCTGAAAGCCCAGGACCCATTCCAAACCCAGCCCTCAATGTCACAAGCTCCTGCCTGGCCTAAGGCGTGGAGAAATCCATGACACTGGAGTTAAGTAGGCTGGCCCACCTCAAACACTAGAACTACGGCCAGGCCCCAGCGTGCACCACCATCTGTGGGAACCAAGGCCCAAGCAGGGATCAGCAGTTGTGGGAAGGATGCCTTGATAGCCTCCCTTGGGCTCCTGTTTCCCTCCACAGGGTAGGGTGATTTTTGTTTCCGTTGGGAGTGGGGTAAGGGAACTAAAACAGTTTTAAGAGGTGAGAGGTGATCAGGTGCTCACAGGTGCCCCCAAATGGGGCCGCGGTCCACTTCATCAACCTGCAGACTCTAAAGCAGGTAACAAGTTTAGTCAAAAACTCCGTGGTAGGGAGCATGGCCAGCGTTTCCAGCCTACCTCCTGAAGGGGGTTGGGACACAGCTCGGAGAGGCAGGTTCCCAGCACAGGGCCACTCCCAGGACAGTGAGAGGAGAGATGTAGGCAGAGGGGGGTGATCGTGAGTGGGCGTGCAAGGCCAGTCGCCACGGGCTGGAGAGGGTTGACCAGCCCCTCTCTAGGCTGTGCGCCTCCTGCCACCCTCAGCGGTGGGGAGTCAGGCGGAAAGACCACGAGTCCACCCCGCAAAGCCCAGAGGCAGGCAGCAGGCCTTTAGGAGCGAACCCGAGTCGGCTAAGCCCCCTCCCGGCTCGGCCCGCTCCCTCCTCTTGCCGGGCCCGCCTCCCCAGTGCAGGCTCCTCCCTCTCCCAACACCAGCCCCCTCCTCAAGGCCCCCCCCCCCGCGGCCCGCACACCGGGTAGCCGCAGCCAGACTCCCCAACACCGGCCCGGCCTCCGCCTCTTACCCTGACCCGCCGGGCTCCGAGAGCCGATACAGCCCATGGCCGGGCACCCAGGCACGCTAGCCCGCGCTCGGGGCCCGGGCCATCGCCTTGCAGAGGGTCGGGCCGCGGCCGCCACCGGGGAGGGGAGAGCCCGTGAGAGGGGAGGGGGTGGGAGCCGCGCGTCCGCCAACGCTCCCGGGAGAGGGAACCGGGCTGGTGACGTAAGCGCGGGGGCGTGTCCACCCCCGCGTCACCACCCAAGGCGGGCGGGGCGAAGCGGACGTCACAGCCACACACATGGGGTCTGGGGCCGAGTCCGGCGAGAAAAGCTCGTCCTCTGCTCCCAGACCCGACTGCGGAGTGACCTGAAGGCAGGAGGGGTGGGAACCGAAGGGACGGGGCACGGACAAAGACTCACTGGGCCCGTGCTACCGGTCATACCGCATGGGGACAGAAAACCTCATTGTGTCCACGGTTCTCTTTTCAAGATGAGACCTTCAAGCCATAGGTTTCAGCTATAGACGGCCTGAAACCCAGGGCCTTCACACACAGGAGTCTGCATCACATTCTGGTAGGAGCCGAGACAGGCAAGTGTGTTCTATGAAGTACCCCACAGCTGTGTCCCCCTTCTCCCCTCCTAATCAACAGTGAGCCTTACCATGTCCACTTTGAGGGCCAACCCTCCAGGAAAGACTCCCTAGCCCTCCCGATCATGGACAGGGGAAGAGGCAAGAGGGGTGCCAAGTTACAGAGAACAGTGCTACAGTGCCAGCTCTGGAAAGGAGGTTGCCCACCTACCCAGACCCCTTCTCCAGAGGGAGCAGGCCATAAAGCAGAGAGGCAGTGAGCTTAATTGAATTCATGTTTAATAATTACAGGCACCGTGCCCCCCCTTCCCCCTGCCCAGGCAGCAGCAGGGGTGGTGCAGGGGCTGGGGCGTATGCCCCCAGCAGCGAGGACGGCAGTCCCAAGAGTGATTTTTCAGAAAATAAAAAAGGACCAGGGGCAGGCAGTGGTGCCCCCCCCCCCCAAGACACACCAAATCTCAAGACTTTATATATATCTCTGTGCCCCAGGGGGAGGAGAGGGACACCTGGCAGCATCCTGGAGGGGAGCCCCAAGCAGCCCCAAGCCATCCTGCCTCTTCAGCCACTTTATTAACTCAGACATCGCACTACAGGCACCCACTGCCACTGCCGCTGCCGCTGCTGCCACCCCCCCTTGCAGTCCGGGCGGCTGGCTTGGCCATCCGAGTGTCCATGGGGCTCCAAGTCCCCGGCCCCACCCGCCCTCAGTTGTGGTCAGACTCCTCCTCCTCGGCCTCACGAAGCCACTTGAAGAAAGCTGTGACAGATTTAAGGGCCACACCCTTGCCCTGCTGTTCAGCGGGGTCCTTGCTACTCTCCCAACTATAGAAGGCGTCCTCCTTCACCACGTCCTCATCGTACAGCGCATCAAAGAACATCCGAAGCAGGTCTGCAAGCAGGCAGGACAGCAGTTACAGGCACACTGCCCACAACCACTCCATCCCCCCTCCCAGGGATCCCTCCCCTAAGCTCCACTGCTGAGACAAGGCCCTGACCCACCGTGCTGACATTTGTGTGTCTGGCCATTCCAGAGTAACTATGTCTCTGACAGGATGCTTATCTCATGATCTAAAAGACTGATGTGCAAGAGTGAGTCACTTGGCCAAAACTCAGAAACCTACATGCACACCCTCAGATCCACAACCGCTGCCTACGGACAGCCTCCCACCCCCATCCCACAGCAATGGCAGCAACAGATTATTTATCCCAAGCTTGTTCTCCAAATCCCATGCACACCCATCCCGGGGACCCTATACACTCAATTATCCACTCTGCCCTGTACTTTCAAGCCCAAGTTTCTCCCATCTAAACACAAAAGGCCTCCTTTACAACTGCTATCTCTTTACAGCCAAAAAGATCTGTCTTTTGACAAGAGATTAGTTGAATTCAAAGATTTCTGTCTATACCTGCTGTTTTTTTTCCCTCCTGATTCAGGTATTACTCTGTCCTTTCCAATCCAGATCCTGCCCCCTGCTGTACCAAATACTGTTTCTGCCAGGGTGGCCTCCATGTTTTCACACTCCAGAGGCCCTAACTTTCAGATCTGCTCCTATGGAATCCGGGCGCATCTAGCATTACTGACCACTTCCCTCTCCTAAAATCATTCTGTCCTTTGTTCATAGGGTCCTATCCTCCTTTGGTCCCTACCTGTGGAACCTCTACCTCCTCAAGGCTGTATCCCTTGGGCAATCCTATACCCTCTTGTGACTTGCACATGTGTTGCCCTGTGCCAGCAGTTCAAGAGATGGGCCTCCAGCCCTCACCTCTTCCTCTCCAAATGAAATCAGATACCCAGCTGTCTACCTGACATCTCTGATCACCCCGACCAGGACCACAAACTCAACATGACCAAATTCAACTTGACCCAGTGTTCCCTACCGCCCAGTGAATGGCACCCCCCACTAACACCTCACCTGCTGAAACTATCTTGGGAGTCATATATGTCTTCCAATCTCTCACCACCCGCCCCCCAGGCCAGTGTGTGTCTTGAATCCGCCCACTCCTCTCCCATCTCCATTGCCACCAGTGAGGCTGAGTCACTACCAACACACCCCTGATCTGCTGATCCGGCCACATTCACATTCACCCCACTCCAAAACACTCTTCCCACTAATGGCCAGGATGATGTAAAAACTAAAAAAGAATGTTTAAAATCCTTGCTTAAAATCCCATAAAGGCCCTCTCCTATCCTTAAAGCCCAAAACTCATCCCATGGCTTACACAGCCCTGCATGACCTGGCCACATCCATCTCTCCACCCAACTTGCCTCACATACAACTGGTTGCTGTGCTCTCCCACCCACACTGGTATTCCTTCAACAGTTTTTACCTTGCATCATGTTTTCTACCTCAGAGCTTCCCTTAACACACAGTTCCTTCTTGTCAAGTCTCCCCCTCCCACTTGTCATTTAGCTCCCACGTGTCAATTCCCACTCATTCTCTGACTAGGTAAATTCTCCCAGAGAGTACCCTTGCAGGATCCATTTTCCAACATTCATCTTGACTCCATGCCAACATGGGAACTATGCTTGACTTAATCACTGCTAATATCCCAATGTCCTGGCACATGCCTGTTTGCTAAATGCATTAACCTCAGGCATGTTAACCTAAGCCTCAGTCTCCCAATATGGAAAAGGGGGGAACACCATCTACCCTAAACAATAGTTGTGAGGATTAACTGAGGCAAAGAAAAGCAGCTCAGCCCTGTACCAGGCAGAGGGAGCACAGGATACTTGGGAAACGTTACCATTTATCACCTCTGCACTCCTGGCATCTAACAGTTGGCTAGGCACAAAACAGGTAGTCAATTAACCTTCAAGGCCGAGTCTTGCACTTGTAGGTAAGGAAACAAACAAATGTTTGTTGCAGGGGAAAGGACTCAACCATCAGGATATTTTGCTCTCCAGTGACCACCCACTTCTCCTGGATTGAGACCCTTTCCACAACTGCCCCTACTATCTGGTAGTCCCTCCAGCCCACCCCATCCCTGTGGCCTGGCTCTTACTGGGGGGCTGTTCTAAGGTCACTACAAGGGCCTGGAGGGCATAGAGCGCCTGCAGCTCCTTCTGCTCGTCATATAGGTACTTCTGTAGCAGTTTCGCTCGCGCTTTCAGCACCGCAACATCCACTCGGAGAGGAGTCTCAACTACAGGGAGGAAGACAGGGATAAGTGGAATAATGCACCCTCAGCCTGGTTCAGAACTGGAGACAAAGACCAAAACCTCCCTCCCTCCATATCTGTCGGGCCCACCCTTGCCCCACCAACTCCCTGGCTCCTCTTACAGATAATTGCAGAATAGCAGACCGTTGTCATGAGAGCTCGAACTAATGTGTTGGATGCTACCTGCTGCTCATTCACGTTGGCCTGTGCAGAAGAAAGACAAATGGCCCATAAGTTCTGAATTATGCCTGGAAGGCTCCATTCTTGCTGCCCTCACTTGCACTACCTTCTCCTTTATCTCTCTCCCCCAATATCCAGGAGAAATATACCTCTATCCAGTCAAACACCCGCTGGTTACTGCTGCCCTCCTTCAGTAGCTTCTCCAGCTGCTTGCTCAGCTCCTCAGAGGACAGCAACCTCTGGCCAGGGGCTTCTGACTCCTCTCCCAAGGTATACTCCACCTTCTGCAAGGAAAAAGGCCCACAGTTGGGAGGTAACTGTGTCACGTGAGATGAGGGAAGAGGAAAGGACTGGCTGACCCCAACTGCTAGAGTTAAGTCCAGCTGCAAACCTGCGCAGTGACAAAGGCACCGACATCCTGGCCTTCAGGTAAAAATTCCTTCCAGCTGAGTCCAGCCTCTCGCCACAGCGTCCCCACCTTCTTGGGACCCTGGAAAACATAAGACCAACTTAGCAACTCTCTTTCTCTCCAAGAAGCTAACAGCTCCACAAATGTCATCCAACGAATGCCTACTGAAAGCCCACTAGGTGCCTGCTAGCAGCTCAGGATGCTACAGAGGTACTGAATGGGAACAGTATACCTACGGTCTAGTAACGGGCACAAACGTCAGTCAAATAACCACCCCAAGTCACAAGAACTCACCCACCACCATGCTATGAGACCTGGGGGATGGCCTGAGACCTCTAGGAAAATGTCAATTAGCTGTCACAGGATTCTCAAAGAATTACTGGACCACAAAATGTAAACAACCAAATCCAAATATCTCATCCTAGCCTTCCACACTCATCTACATTTTTTTCTAAAATAGCTTAGTTTTTCATTACTGCAAGTAACAAATGCTTATGGAAGAGAAAAACATCTCACCAGTATGCTTATTTGGTTCCCAAGTCCAGAAAACTTTAGAAGCAGATGTTAAGTCCCCACCCCCAACCCAACACAAATCAGAGATCTTCATGTAAACGGCAGTTTGAGTTCATTTTCTATAAAGGGCAAGAGATTCTGAAGCCATCACTGTTTTACAATAACAGATATTCAGGATGACGCCATCAACCCTTGACAAAATTACTGTACTTCATGGATTTTAAAAACGCCCATTTTAACACCACTAAAACTGAGTTGGCTCACAGCTGGCATATTACCACATTTTAAAAATATGACCATGTCTTTTTTTTCTCAGCAGTGCATACATAAGATGTTGTAGAATCTATGGCACCTTAGAGTCAATGAAATACATAAATAGTCCCATATGCTTTTTCTTTTAAATTATTATTTTAAATTTCTCAGAAACTATCCTGGTGCGTATTTCTACCTAAAACAAGTAATATGCTGCTGAAAGAACAATTCCTCTCGATTCAAAGACTTACTCCTCTAAGTTCCAGATAGCTGAACTCTTTTAAAAAACTGCACTTCCCAACATCTCACCACTACTAAGTACCACACCCAACTTGCCTTTCCCATCATTTCACCCTTCTCCTTGCTAATCAAAATTAATTTTAACAAAGCAGTTTCTGTTGTGAACGTTACCAAATAGACACCCTTTTGCAACTTCACAGTACTTAAGGCACTCCATTTCAGCTATTTTATTTCACACTTTACTTCACACTGTTGTTTTCATTAAGCTGTCGTTTCTTTTCCAACTTGTTTCCTAACTGTGTTTTTATTCACTGTTGTGTTCCCAGTACCTAGTATACGGTAAATGTTCTAAAAGATGCTAGTTGAATGAATGAGTGAATCAATCAAGGGCCTAGGGCCTTAGATTCTCGTTCTCCTCCAGCCTTGGCCAGAACCTACAAC